GTTAATTGCTGCCGCTCTGACGTGCAGAGGCTCAGGATACAGACACCTTCGACAACATCAGAGACACAGTGACGGACTTCGGCAGGAACGTGGCTGAAAAGGCCAAGGACACCTTCCACACCATAAAGAACAGCGAGTTCGCCCAGCAAACACAGTAAGTCATCCCGCCTGGCGAGAGAAATTCCCACATCCTGTCTGCACGCTCAAGTTTGTCTAATATTTGATGTCATCTTCAACAGTAACTGGTTCTCGGAGAACTTTGAGAAGCTCAAGAACAAGTTTTCGGAATTGTCCCAAAACTAAAAGAAACTGGTCCGTGTCTTCAGTTCCCCACCACCCATCCCTCTACCACCCACAAGGCTGCTGACCTCAACATGCTGAGAGGCTGAAATGCTTTGATTTTCATGTTGGCCAGATTAAACAGTTTGCAATCTTTTAAAATGTAAACAAAGGTGCAATAAAAACATCAAAATATATATTTTATTTCTGTCAACAGTGATGTTTATGCAAATAAAAACAATCCGTGTTAAAAAGAATTCGATTTTTTAATGTGTTTATTTTGAATGATTGAGGCATGCCATACTAGGAGACACTGCACACTGAATCAGACTGAATGGAGTCAGTTTAAAGAGTGTAATATCACTGGAGTGAATATTGAACAAGTGCAACAGGGATATTTCTACACTATTTTTCAAACTGAAAGAAGAAATGTTTCAAATGACTAAAGTAATACAATTATTATTATTTTTTTAAATTTTAGCTACAAACTGGTTACTCAACTGAGCTGAGCTGCCTCTAAGGATATGTAGAGAAGCAGAACAGTGTCTGCTTAAATCATGCAAGATGGGATTTAGATTAGCTACATTTGGGCATCGTTGCTTCATCTAACAGCAACAAAGCTAGTGATTAAAACGTTAGCTGAGGTTTTGGGTTGTAAAAATGTCTTTTAATCACATCTGGACTTTCTAATAGTCTAAATATATAAATACACAGGACCAATGAGCTGTCTGTCTCTGGATGTAATCCAATTATTGTAATGGTGGCCTGTCCGAACCAAACGTAAATAAAATAAAATAAAATAAATTAAAAATTCAGCTGTTGCATATGACAGCAAATAAAGTGGGTAAAATAAACAAATCAATGCTTTTTCTTTCAACAAATGTTGCATGTAACAACTCATTCATTTCAACCATTTGTCCAAAAATCCAAAATTATGACACAATCTAGCAAAATAAATATATATTTATATAAAAATAACCAAACTAAATTGTAAATATTTTTTGTAATGACATCACTGATGAGAATGACATTTGCATAAAAACAAATACACTTTTCTCATCGCTTTTATGTTTTTTTTTCAGTGTCTATCATTCTTAAAAAAATCTAGTTTTAAGTTTGCTTAGAATTCATTATCATCATTTGCTTAAAATTCTTTATTATCATTAATTCATCAACATTTGTACAAGAAAACTAACCAGGAAATTAAATTGCGGTTTATATAAAAAAATCTAAATTACTCAATAAATGTGGCTTCTTGTGTTAAAATCATGAATCGATGATGTGTCTAAAAGAGAACAGTTCATTTGTGATTAACGTCAGTATCAAAGGGTGACTGCCAACATGGCTGCTTTCCTGATGTTTCATAACCGCAGGTATAAAGTCACTGTTTATGATAAGTTAATAATCAGCTAGTTGTCTGAGTTCAAAGAAATCTATTTCAGTGAAGAGAACAAAGTGACAGAGGCACGAAAAGTGCACAAAAGTTACAGATTATTGTCACATTGTACCAACTGTCTATCATTTTCACATTAAGATAAAGATGATGATCTTTGTGAGCAAGGGGTGTACTTTATTATTTTTGCTCCTCTAAACCAAGTCAAAAATGTTTAGTTTTGTCAAGTTACTTCTGACCCAATTCAAAAAGGCTTAAATAGTAAAATCCCTGCTCTGGAATAACAACAATACCTAAACTAAAACAATCACAGTCAGTCTGGAACAATGCATCTAAAACCATTTGTATTCCAGTTTGAACTTCATGACTTTTTAAATGAAGGCTTTACAACAAACTTGTCATTTAGACTGCATTGTTTTCTGCAAGGTGAACCTAAAAGTGTCAGTATAATTTTTTTATTACCTCTGGTCTATTCTAAACAATAACAGTATCTTTAGGATGTTGCATAATAAAAAACAATGTGATTTCAGTAATAATTTATAGCACTTTCTATGCACAACGAGTGGGCTGGTGTGGAAAGACCCCATTAACCGACGGGATGAAATCAATTGTGCGATGGACTTTAGTCATGAAAGTATCTATTTGAACCCAGTTCTTACTGAAACACGTATCTCTTTTCTGAGACTTTGCCTGGTCTGTACACATTTCAGCACCCACGGATTGAGGTGAGTTTTCTAATCCAAAGGGCGTCTGGACGGTTATCGAACTAAAAAAAAGTATTTCCACATTTCAGGATGTGCAGGTTTAAAAATTCAACATTTCTTCACTTGACTCGGCAAATATACCCCAACGAATTTCAAACATTAGACAAAATCACAAACGATGCTTGATGGAGAAATCTTTCAAACATTTCACGACTTAATTATTCTTAGAAATCTTATTTCAAATAATGGTTAATTTGAGTTATATTTCTTGTTAAGTTTTAATTCATGAGAAAATGAAACTGAAAACTTGTAGAGAAACTTTGCAGCAAGTTTGTTGCTTTAGTGTCAGTTTGTGGCCAGGCACAAAATTAAAGCTGAAGAGCAGAAAAACAACAGGATTAAATATTATCCAATGGGGATCAATGTCACCTAATACAAATAAAGCAGACTGATACTACTTGGCTCATTTTGTTTCTGTTGAAGACAGACAGATAAAATGGTAAAAACTACTTCCAAAAGTGTTGTATTTATCATGATTCTAACAAGTACCTGTTCAATTTTATTTTTATATCTTTATGTATTCAATTGATTCTTATTATATAAATAATAATGTATAGCTATTTGGACATTTAACTTCCAGACCATTTTACACAAATACAAATACTTGTTTTTTTAACACAGATTTTTTTTCCTTCTCTTTTTGGCAGATGAAAATTCATACTGTATTCGTTCTCATGTTTCTGCTGCACGGTATGGCTTTTAAATCATTTCTGAAATACATAAACATATTTATTAAAATTTTATTTTCTTCTGGGCTTGAGTTTACTCGTGTAAAACGTATTCCTCTAGTTTCAGAACCAGTTTCGGCACAAACTTCGGCTCCAGAAGAGACGGAGTCTACAGGAATAGTGCAGAGATTTACAAAGAGAGCTGGGTAATTCTTTAACTTTCTGAGAAACTTGATGACACCTCAGTCAGAAACCTGATTTGTCTTTGCAAATAATTTAATTAAATCATTTTCTCCCCTTCTTTGTGCCAAAGTATTAGCTTTGCCTTCAATGTTAAGTGCCTGTCATTTATCTGTTTTCAGGCAAGCAGTTGCTAAAATCCAGTCCATTGGGGAAACGGTGCTCGGCTTTGCTGGTGCCTACTATGAAGACCACATCCAACCAGTGGCCAGCAGCTACACTGAGTGGGCCTCTAATGTGAGAAGCTCTTTACGGGAGAAGATACAAAAAACCATTGACAACTACATGCCATCAAACCCTCAGAATCAAAGATAAGCTGACAGTTAACAGTCCAAGTATCATGGATTCACCTGTCACTGACGTGCTTCTGAATTCTCATCATTTGTCTCTGGGCTTTGGTAAATGTGAAAAATAAAGACAGGATCAGATTAAAACTAAAGATTGTTAATGCAGTGGACCTCATAGAACCTGGAAGTTATAACAGAAACAGTACCAACTGTCRGCTGGTTAGGGTTCATGCTTCAAGGTTTTAGGCCTTACACCCTCAATGWAAACAAATTGGACTTTGCATTTGTTAAATACATGTCAAAAGAATGAATAAAAATTCTGATCATGTTTTTCAAGTGTTAAYTTTTGTTGATTTGCTGTGTTCTTACCATGCTACTGTAATTTCAAAGACTTTTTTTTTAAACTGCAATCAGTTAGTTCATGCACTGACATAAAGTCACACATCACTAATGTTCGGACGCCGATTTCAAAAATACACGTCAGCTTCTGTAAAACAGTTTATACAGGCTTCATTGCCTAACAATGAAAAATGGTTCAGTTGGTTAATTTTGTTCATGATTAAATCTCTATAAAATGACTTTGTTTGCCTCTACAGTAAATCTTAACTAGTCTTGTCTTTATTTTTCTAATTTATTTAGGGTGAGATGCTGGTTCTGTTTTAGATGAGTGATAAGAACACAGACTTAGTGACATTTTTATTCATCTACAAATATTTTAATTCATAGTAATAAAAATACTAATATGTTTGTGTGACACTGATTCTTATTTGTATTATCAAAAAATGATGAGTTGGATAAAAAAGGGGGATTTAAAGTAGAAAAAAGGCAAAAAATTTTACAAAAATGAAAACTAGAATGCCTTGAAGTCCTGCATATTGCCTGACCCTCATTTATACCACACCAAATCTTAGTACAGTATCAGTA